GGATTATTTGCTTTTTGTTAGTTGAGGTGCATAGGCTCTTTGTATATTTTGGATGTCAACCTCTTATAGGATATGTCATTTATGAATATATTCTCCCATACTGTAGGATGCCATTTTGTTCTACTGATGGTGTCCTTTGCTGTACAGAAGCTTTTTAGTTTGATATAGTCCCACTTGTTCATTTTTGCTTTTGTTTCCATTGCCTGGGGAGATATGTTGATGAAGAAGTTGTTCATGTTTATATTCAAGAGATTTTTGCCTATGTTTTTTTCTAAGGGTTTTATGGTTTCATTACTTACATTCAGATCTTTGATCCATTTCGAATTTACTTTTGTGCATGGGGTTAGACAGTGATCCAGTTTCTCTTACATGTAGCTGTCCTGTATATCTTCTTTGGAGAAATTATTGGGGGTATAATTTACATATAATAAATGCACCCATTTTAAGGGTACAGTTTGAAGCATTTTGACAAATACTTATACCTGTATAACCACTACGCAATTAAGATTTAGAGTATTTGTGTCACCTCCAAAAGGGCTACCTCATGCCCTTTGGTAGTCACTTGCCTCCCATCTCTTGCCTCAAGCAACTAGTATACTTTCTGTCACTACAGATTAGTTTTGCCTGTTCTAGGATTCCACCTACAAGGAACTGTATACTGTGTACTCTTTTGTGTCCAGCTTCTTTAGGCATAATAATTTTGAGATTCTTTCACATTGTTGTAGGTAGGTGAAAGATATTTTAAGAGTGAAAATTCCTAAACCTTTGAAAAAGTGGGAGATCATAATAACTGATATTTATTAACCACTTATGATATGCTAAGCACTGTTCAGGCTTTATAATACTATCTCATTTAATCCTGACATCAACCCTTGAGGTGATATTAACTCCATTTTAGAGATGAAGAAACTGAGTCACAGAGTGTATAAGTAATTTGTCAAATGTCATACAGATAACCCATGGCAAAGCTGGGACTTGAACTCAAAGAACCTGGCACTGGAGTCAGTGTGTAAAGTCACCACATTAACTTGTCAGGGTATTGGGTAAACCCCAACATTTCTGAAAGGGGCTGATGTACATCCTGCTTCTCCTCCTGTAGTCCCCTTCTCCACCTGCCATCCTCAGCCTCTTTGCATGCCATTATCAGCTAAATAAGGGAACGCATAAACCTGTTTAAAGAAAGTCTAAGTTGTTACTAGTATACAGAAGTCCTAGGGAAAAAATTGAATAGAGGAACAGAAAGAGAGAAGCAATTACATTATATTGCTCATTAGAACCAACTTGCCTGATTTCATGGGCCAGTGCTTATTTCACACTTAATTTATCTCCTAAGACTGGACAGGAACAAAAAAATTGGTTCTCCACTCTTGAATAAATGTTTTATTTTGACAGAGATGGCAATCTGCAGTTCCACTATATTAACATAAGTATGAATATGATTGTGCTTCATCTTTACAGACTACACCAGAGCTGTACATTTGTTGTATTAGTAAACATTTTTAAATGAACGCTTTTCTAGCCATTACTTCATTATATCCTCACAAAGGCCAAATTACTTTGAAAGGGCAGGAATTACAGTAGCTCCCATTTAATATATTATTCTAAGATGACTGAATGACTTCCTGAGATTACATACCTACTTCTGGATGATCTTCAATAGTAATGGTCAAGCCAGGCCTAGAAGGCACTTCCCAGTGTCATCCCTAGGCTTTATCTCTAGCTCTGTTCACCAGAACAGTGGTTTCCTGGTTATAAGTAAAAGTACTTTTCAATGTGGGTTGTAGTAGTATTAATAAGAGATATTATAATTCACTTCCTTCCTAACCAGAGAATAAATCATTTCTTCATTTTTATTGTGTAAGGGTATAAAGTTTTACCGATACCTTAATTATCATCTTCTTTCCTGCTTGCTTTCACAGAGCAGTGACCTTTTCTATTTCCTAGTGAACAAACTTCATGAGTACTTGCCAGAGTCAAGGATAAGAATGCACTTCAGAGAGAGGCGGAGCCAGGATGGCGGCATGAGTAGAGCAGTGGAAATCTCCCAAAAACACATAGAGCTATGAAAATATAACAAAGAAAAATCTTCCTAAAAGAGAGACCACAGGACACAGGACAACATCCAGACCACATCCACACCTGCAAGAACCCAGTGCCTTGCGAAGGGGGTAAGATACAAGCCCCGGCCAGGCGGGACCCGAGCGCCCCTCCCCCCAGCTCCCGGCGGGTGGAAAGAAACTGCAGCGGTTTTTTTTTTTTGCGAGTGCTTTTTGGAAGCCTTAAAGAGACAGGGCCCCCGTTGCTAGGGAGGCAGTGTGGCGGGACCGGTGAGCGGGTGCCTGGGACTGGTGCCTGAGGACAAAGATTATCCCGCGTCTTTCCCTGTGGGACCGGTGGGCGGGTGCCTGAGACCAGCACCTGAGGATGGAGGAAATCGCGCGTTGTTCCCCTTTTTTTTTCTCTTTTTGGCGAGTGCTTTTTGGAAGGCTTAAAGGAACAGGGACCCCGGTGCTAGGGAGGCAGGGCGGCGGGACTGGTGAGCGGGTGCCTGGGACCGGCGCCTGAGGACAAAGACTATCCAGTGTTTTTCCCTGCGGGACCGGTGGGAGGGTGCCTGAGACCGGCACCTGAGGACGGAGGAAATCGCGCGTTTTTCCCCTTTTTTTCCCTCTTTTTGGCGAG